CGTAGTACTGCTTCCACCTCTCAATAACCTCACACTCGTTCGTGAGAAGGTTACCGTCCAAGTCCTTGTACATATCGGCTTGCGGCACGTAGCCTTTGCGCGAACTATTTGGCTTCTCGTAGAATTTCCGTGTGTCGTTTACGCGGTACAGATTTTCCATAGCCTTGCGATCTCGGTCTTCCTGCTGACGCTACTTCCTTAAAAAAACCGAGTTTTGTCTATTCCGCGCTTGTCTGTATAGCTTCACATTCAATCTCGTATGGTGCTGCAGCATCGCTAGTGCTGCATTTCTTCTCCTCTACTAACAGTTTGCATTCGCCGTCAAACCAGTCATTTCTTCTGGCCGGAATCGCAGTGCCAAGTGCCGCTACAGCAGTACTACCTATGGCGGAACGGATGTCCCTCCAGCCATCTTCAAGAGTAGCTGCGCGAAGCTGCTCTTCCGTGGGTAGTGCAGCTTCCAGCTGCTGCGCGTAATCCTGGGCAACTCCAGGGTCCCGTTGATCAATGTTGAGTCGCGGCGTTCGACTTCGACGGGTGTTATGCACCGTCGAGATTTTTGAGCGCATGCATACTGCAACTAAGTAGTGTTCCATATCTATGTTCGCACTGCCGTACGTGCGGACGTTGATGATGTCAGAGAAGAAATTCCCATCGATTAGAACGTGTTCGATTTGGTTTTCTGGAAAGTGGAAACTTCAAGTAAATTAAATTAAATTGTGAGTTCTTATAAAAAAATACTGCGAAATTCAGAGTAGTCTAGAGAACTTTGAGGAAATTCCGAAAAATTTTGGGCAGTTTTAACAATTTCACGAATTTCTAGACTACTGAAGAAGTTATGAATTAGAGTCGATAATTTAAGGTCAGTTCCACGAAGTTAAGAAAAATATTAAGAACTTGAGTTGAAATCATAGAACTATATTGATTATTTGAATTTCGAAAACTTCACAGAAGCGCAGAGATTTTCAAAAACCATTCGCGAACTTCATAGAGCCTATGGAACTTAAGAGAATATCCGAGAATTTAACAAAGAAGTTTAGTAATCTAAAAAAATGGAAATTTCAGGGGGAGTTCAGTACCATTAGTCACAGATAATTAGCGGGAAATTTTAAGAAGTTCTCAAATTTTCAGAGAACTTGAGAGATGTTAAGACAATTATAGAGGGGTTCACGTAAATTCAGAAGTTCACGGAAGCTTTTCAACATTTTTGGGACAGTTCAATTAAATTCAGAGCAGTACAACAAGCTTCATGAGAACTGCAAACACTTTAGAAAAGTATCGAGAACTTCAGGAAAAAACAGAGAACCTCAAAGCAATTCCGTTAACACAGGGGCGATTCCTCCATATGTGCAACATGTTCATTGCACACGTGGACCTCATGACTATTTCAGAAATTTTTTAAATTATTAAAATGTTCATAATTAGAAGGGTTAGCATTCGAAAATATTTACATACTGTTTCCAGGCCAAAAATGACCGCATTGCACTATAGTGAGAAAGGTTAGAATGCACCACGGTAGTCATACAGTTGCCCATTCCATATTGATGTATCGCCAAGCGCTTATTGTATCATCACGAAAAATATTGGTACCTATGCGACAGCATATCTCACGCTACGCCTTCGTGTGTCGTGAAAGCAACAAGTTCAACTTTATCCGTCGTACTGATACACTCATAAACGTATACAGATGAGAAGTAATACACGTAATTGACATTTCAGGCTGCAATATTTTGTAGCATCATCATTTGCAACGATGAACAGGCATTTTTTCGTATGAATGGGAATACAGTGGAAGAATCTGTCACTGTGTGAGTGGTTTTTCTCTGTCGAAAAACGCCCTCAGTGTGCATCGAAGAGCTTGAACCGTCAGTTTTATGAATGGTTTTGTTGAAAAAGTGTTTGTAGAATGTTCAAGCTCAGTGGTGGTTCCGAATTTTTAGCAGCTTTTACGGTTTCTAAAACAGTGAGACGTAAGTTGCAGATAGTTTTTACTATGTATACACTATACAATAATTTTATTGTACTTATTGATACATATTTTATATTTCAGATGGCATCAGAAGTCCAAATTGAATGTGCTGTAGCGTATATTCTTGTTCGACCATTTTCTGCGCTAACCATGGAGAAAAAACTGCTGGTCGTGAAAAAAGCCACCCCCTAACCTGACATGAAAAATTTGAAGTCGTATTATTCAAAGTCAGGAAAATCTATGACGAGAAACTTCAACAGATCATCGTACAGCAGTCACAGGTGGCTATGCGGATCGGAAAAATTGAATAAAATATTCTGTTGGCCGTGCTTGCTATTCCATAGCAACCAAGACCGTGGTGTATGGTCAAAAACAGGCTTCACTGGTTTGAACCATTTGTCGGCGGCATTGAAAGTTCATTCGTCATCGAAGGACCACATCGATAATGCCATGGCCCATAAAACGTTCGGAAGGATCAGAATCGATGAAGCTCTTGACCATGCGCGGGAAGTTGCCAAGACAAATCACAATTGTATGGTGACCAAGAACCCGAAAGGATTGAGAACCCTCATAGATATTGTGTGTTACCTGGGGTCCCACGGATTGGGCTTTCGTGGGCATGACGAAAGAGAGGTTTCTAACAATAGGGGCAATTATAAAGATTTTTGCTCATTCGTTGCTAGTTTTGTAGAGTTTATTAGCAAATCCAGCGTCTTCACCGGAACATCAAGTGCTATACAAATCGACATTATAGAGTGCGTTGGAAAATGCCTACTGCTACAAATCAACAAAGAAGTCGATGAAGCTCCATATGTTGCTGTCATGATGGATGAAACGACCGATTTTGGAAGATTGGCTCAGCTATCATGTGCGCTTCGATATGTTAAAAATAACGGTATGTACGTTTAGCATTGTTGTTTGCTTTTATAAATTTATTTATTTTTTGATTTTTTATTTGTTTGTTTAGGTGCTCCTGTTGAACGTTTTGTTCGTCTTTGTGACGTAAGTAGTGATAAAACGGCCCCCGCTCTGGCAGGTGAAGTGGACTCAATTGCTATCGAATTTGGTCTAAATGCTGACAAGCTTATCGCACAGAGCTACGATGGTGTCGCGGTTATGTCGGGTGAGTCGGGAGGGACGCAAGCCTTGGTGAAGAAAAACTTCCCAAAGGCTGAGTACATTCACTGCAAAGCACACATCCTAAACTTGGTTTTGCTGCACTCCTGTTCAGAAGAAAAAAGAAATGCAAAGTTTTTCAAAACGCTATCGTCACTTGCTGCATTTTTCTCCCAATCCACAAAACGAAATCAAGCATTAAAGAAATATATTGATGCTAAAATCCCCAACGTATGTAGAACCAAGTGGGCCTACACTTCAAGAATGGTCAACGTTGTAAACGATAACTATGCCGGTATTATAACGTGCCTCGGAGATTTGTATCTCGGCGATATGAATTGGGATGGAGATACGTGCACCAATGCTCGAGGATTGCACGGATTCTTGCTGGATTTTGAAACATTTTTTTTCTGAAGGTTTTTGCAGCACTATTCAGTTTTACTGACGTACTCTACAGCGTATTGCAACAGAAAGACTTGGATGCAATAGAATGCATAAAAAAATGTCCGTTCTTGCCGCAACGAGATCGAAGTGATGAAATCGATCAAACATTTCGAAAATGTGTATGATGCCACTATTCAAGTTCATGGAGGTGACGACATGTTGCGGAAAAAGACTAAATCCTTTTATCAGGCACTTTATGAGACATTAACCGATCGCGTTTTGAAAGAAATGGACAATCGGTTAAAATCATTGGAAATCATTAAATATGTAGGGTTGCTCAATAGTTCTAAATTTGGAGAATACTATGAGTGTTTTTCTCAACAGCTGTTCGATTCATTGACCAAATTATTCGGCAATAATTTTGATGTAACAAAATTGAGTAATGAGCTCAAAGTATTTTATTCACGAAGCGAGTTTTCCCCTAAACTAAATCCGTTAAGGAAATGGCAATGCTAATTGCCGAAGAAGAGTTGGAGGATGTGTTTTCAGAAACAGCGAGACTGGCAAAGTTGATTCTCACATTACCGAGTACAACTGCTACCGTGGAGAGATCTTTCTCCGCAATGCGTCGGGTGAAAGATTATATACGCACGACTATGGGAGAGGATCGACTGTTTTACCTTATGTTAATGGCTGTGGAAAAAGATTTGTTTTCAGATTTACAACATAAACCAGGATTATATGACAATGTAACAGACTTATTCGCAGAAAAAGCTGTTGTATAAATAATCTTTAAAATGTACATAATAAAGTCTCATGATTAAACCTTCGCAAGTTTTTTTTTATTATTGTATGTATACAAATAAAATATAGGTTGAACAGGTAGCTTGATAGGTCACGAATCGCCCCTGCGTTAACATTAGAGAAATTACATCAATTTGAAAAAAAAAGTTTCGAGAACTTTAGAGAAGATCCATGATCGTTAAATAAATTGAGGAAACTTTTAAAAGTCCGAAAAAGTTCAGAGAAGTTTAAAAATTTGATTAAAAGTGTTGTAAGTGTCAGGCTATTTTCTCAAACTACAAAAGAACTTCAAGACAGTTTCATTAACTTCAGGAAAAATTTGAGAACTTTCAATTAGTTCTGGAAACCTCAAAATAGTCCATTCCATATTCAACTGAGATTTCACATGAAAATTAACTTGGAGTTCTCCTCAGCATACGCTTTGTAGTCTCCCGAAACTATCATGGAATTATTCTTGAAATTCACTTCGTACCCTTCTGTGAAGTCTCTAAAAAATAAACTTAAAATACTTCTACCAAGTCTATCGAAATATTCATAAAAATGTCGTTGGAAATATCCTCCGAATTCAATTTTCTTTGAATTTTCCTCGGAATTACCGTGAAATTCTCTTAAGTAAGAAACCCGTTTGAAAGATTCTCATCATGCTAACTTTTGCAATTGTTACACCTAGTGAACGTACTGAAAAAAAATCAAACTCCACAACTAATAACTCATCTCTTCCTTCCAGCCCCGAATACGAGTCCATCCTCAAATTCTACGGCTACGATCTGGAAAATATTCCGGAAATGAAAATGCAAACAACAACCATCGCTCCGACATCCCCGGACTCAATGGAGACCACCACATTCCCAGCCGACTACATGACCTCCAGCGAGGAGGAACAATCCACCACGGAGTCCACTGCGACGAGCTTCGACTTAACCATGGGTTCAGCAGAGCCGGAAGAAGATGGAACAACTACCACCGAATCGGAACAAGAATCCGAGGAATCTGAAACGACAACAACAACCGTCACCGAAGGTGGCGAACAGGCGGAGACTACCACCGTTTCTGAAACTGAGAATACAACAGAGGAGGAAACGTCGGAAACACCCGCCGAGGAAGAGCAAACTGAAGAGCCAACAGAAGAAACACCAACGGAAGGTGGTGAAAAACGTCGGCGAAATCTGCGGAAGCGTGGGCAGAAGCAAAGCCAAGTGCAGCGACGACAGTCGCATCCGAATTACCGTAGGAGGATGCTACGAGTCAGACGAAGCCCCGAAGAGTTTGATTTGGTCAGTCATCAGCGATTCCTGCAGAATTTCTTGCTGCAGGACGTAACTACTGCGTCGCCTTTTGCAGCGTTCCCTGCTTTTTCGGAAAGAGCCAACCAATTCCAGCAGGATCGACTCCTGGATGACACCATCGAGCATAACTTCTATCTGAGTGAAACGGAAACGGTCAAGGTTCCTTACAAGATTTATAATACCATTCTTAAGTACGCATACGTTGATCGACTGCAGTCGACCGTACTGGAATTGGAGCTTGATTCCGACGACTACAAGCTGATCATCATCCTTCCGGATTACGAATTTGGACTGGGGAATCTCATGAAATTGCTTCAGATCGGAGACAATGTTCCGAATCTGAGAGACATTGTAAAGCAGATGGCACCCTCGTGGGTCAAAACGATCGTACCGAAGTTCACGTTGAAGGGAAACATCATTCTGACCAGCGATTTGCAGAATGTGAGTCGGAAATTGACATGGGATTGAATGTTTGTGATGGAATTGCCTACCTTTCTTTTCAGATGGGAATCAACGACATCTTCGAGCCTACGCGAGCCGACTTCACCCCCATGACGGAAGACCCGCTGATCTACGCGAAGCACATCGAGCAATCAATCAATATCAACATACGGACGCAATCGTTGCAGCAGCTCAAGAGTAATTAGTGCATTTTTGTTTTACTTTATTCTGCTAAATGTTTCTCCATTGTGTTTAAAGATATGCCTTGTACGGAGGTGTGTCTGCCCGACCGACGCCCGAGTAGGCATGTTAATTACCTCGCAGGCCGTCGTGTGTGGTGCTTCAGTCTTTAGTTTTAGCTATTTAACTATCTTGGCATAGAGTTTAGCAGATTTTATGAGGGAAATCACCTGGATATCAACTCTTATAATCCGTATGAATTCAAATTAATTCAAATGACGAGTGTCTACGATTCATAAGATTCATTAAGACGAGGGGGCACTGGCAGAGACAGGAGGGCACCCAAAATGCCTTGCTGCTTCCTTTCTACCTCCAATATATTTTAAAGGTGATCAATCGTGACCTCAAACGCCCTTTGGTTGCTTTGAAGGCATCCAAGTTTCTAAAGATGCTCCAACAGCCTTTCTACTGAAGTTCAACTTCCTTCAGCATTTAACAGAGATCACTATCCAGCATATGGGGTGCCCTTCTGTTGTTTTGGTTCCATCCAAAAAAATCACAAATTTCCTCAACCGCCTTCTTGTTGCAGTTAAGCCACTCACCTTTTTAAGAGGTGATAAATAGTGACCCGCAACCTCCCTTTGATAGCTTTGAAGTCATCCACAGAATTAGCAAACTTCTTATAGAGTCCCAAACACAGCCAAAGTCCAAATCACGTCTTTCGGGTAAAAAATCTCCAGGATGATTAAATAATCCCAGGATATTTTTCCAAGACTTCGAATTGATCAGGAATTACTGCGAAGATCTCCAACTGTCAAAAAGTTCCGATCACGTCTCTCCGATATTCTCGCATATGATACCAGCTAGCTTTGAAATTGTTTCTATTGGGAGTAGGCAATTCGAACATCTGGTTCGGTTGACGGTTAGAAGTAAAGAGGGAGATTTTTTAATTCAAATAAAAAACTAGCCTACTAAGATGGACACAGCTTACAGGTCTTCAACACTCCTCCTTAAGCTAGCGTCTTCAAATATACAATCCCATTGCTCTTTGGTTACGTTCAAGCTTGAATTGATCATTTTGTCAAGCTTCTGCATTCATGTTCCATCAGATGTCACAGCTGTTGTTTACGGTGACATCTATCGGAAACTAGACACAATCTGTTTTCCTATAGTTGTTCACAGAGGCTGCAGTGCAAAATATGTCTGGTACCTCTATATATGCATTTAGATTATTATTCGAAGTCCCTCCTTTTTTACACATTCTGCACACAAAATAGCTCACCCCTCACAGAATTTCCCGCCGAATTTTATGTATGGGGCGGGGCATAAAGTATCTTTTGCGCAGAATATGTAAAAAAGGAGGGACTTCAAATGTTAAAGCAAATGCATATATAGAGGTACCAGACATGTTTTGTAGTGTCAGGTACTCTATTTTGTAATCTGTGAAAGGGAAATCACAAATCGAGTGTCAACAAAATACATGGCATGTTGAGAGATTGAGCTCGTGAGAGAGAATTTCTCTCTCAAATTTGATTTTTTTTTGGCTCTCTGGGGACTGGTAGTAAAGCAGGTAAAATTGTATGGGGAAAAATCATTTTTATTTAATTGTAGCTTGCTTAACAATAATTTCCGGGAAAAAACTGAACGACAAAGTCCCTGATTAATTTCTTTAGGTTGTCGTACACTTTTTTTGACCTGAATATGCACCGAAAGCGAATTATTCCCACTTCTCTCAATTTCTATATGGGGATTTTTACCATTTCCTACCAGCAAAACAGCGCCATCTCTGTGGAAAATGGTCGAACAAAATGATTAATTGTTGAAGCGGCTTTGTTAAACCATCTGTAACCTGGTCTTCTGTCTTGGCGTAGTTAAGTTTGATAATTTTCCGGTCCAACACATCACGGATGTAATGGTGCCGGATATCAATGTGTTTCGTCCGGGTGATGTATCCGCCGTTCCGCGTGATACAAATTGTTCTCTGGTTGTTACAGCGCAACTCGATCGGATTTTGTTCGCCAAACTGCGACACCTGTCCTCACCATCATGACGCGTACAGCACCAAGATACTGCTCCTCCTTGCAGCAGGAATACATATCCACTTGTTGACCATCTGTCGTCCAGATCAGACGCCCAGACCGCATCGGGATAGCCAACGGGCAAACGACCTTCAAGTTGCAGTTGTTGAAACGACTCAACAAGTTCACAGCGAACAGTATGTCTGGACGGGTACATCAAGCATCGGCTTCCTCCACAGTCTTCGGCGACATCTCCTTTGACAGCTTTTCTGCGGTGTTCATTGTAGTGGTTACGGCCTTCGCACGCTGCATGTTGAACCAACGCAAGATAGAGTCTGAACCTGAACCGTCCGTACGGGTGATACGGATGCCCTAGCAGCTCGTCGCAGGTCCCAAATCCTTCACCCGGAATGTACTGCTTAGCTTGGTCTTCAGGCTGTTCTTCAGCGCGACATCGTTGGAGAATATCAGCACGTCGTCAACGTGCACCGCAACAAACAAAATCTTCCCATCTTCGATCCAGTAGTACAAGCACGGATCGTATTCCGATAGTCCCAGCTACTCCAGCGCGGCGTCCAGTTTGATATTCCAGACCCTACTGAATTGCTTGAGACCATAGAGTACTTTGTTCAAACGACATACCAGCTAACGTCCCCGGTTTTCACGAAACAAGGCGATACCGGCGAGATACCGCAGTCACCACAGTGACGAACGACAGGAATATAAGTTTCGTCGTACTCCACCCCCTTTTGCTGTGAGAATCCCTTTATAACTATGCGAGCTTTGTAGCGGTCAACATTACCACTGGCGTCGTGCTTCGTCTTGTAGACCCACTTGCACTTGATGGCCGTTCTGCCTTTCGGTAGCTCCGTCAATGTCCAAGTTTTGTTGTTGATCAGTGCGTCGTACTCCTCGTTCATCGCCGTCTCCCAGCGTACGGAGTCGTCTCTGGATAGTGCCTCCTGGTGTATCACCGGATCATCATCCAACCTCCTAGCGTCGGCGTGAATTGCGGATTAAGCCATTCCGCTGAACTGGCCCTGGCACTTCCAGAACAACATGTGAAAAGGGCATACAAGCTTTTTGTAAACAAACCTTCTTATTCCCTTTTCTCGCCACCCATATAACACCAACGCAAACCTTTAACATCACCGGGTAGGGAACACTTTCTCCTTCCCGATGATATTGCTGGTTTGAGTGGGCGACCCTCGGTTGGCGAGAAAAGAGCCTACAATGGTTTGTTTACAAAAAGCTTGTATGCCCTTTTCACATGTGGCTCTTGACTTGACATTTATCATACTTGCCTGGTAGCCAGTGCTCCCGACATCTACGCCTCAACACCTGTGACTGAGGTGGATGTGAAGATTGTCGCAGTGGGAGCACGGAAGTCACGACAAACGCAGAATTTGTGGACATGTTGTTCTCACTGCTGCTGTCTTCACTCTCATCGGTTGCTTCACAGTCGGTGAAAAACCGTCTTCTTCGGACACATTGGGCTGCGATTCGGGGCTTCGTCTAGAGACAGCGAAACGATTTTCTCGATGTCTAGTTGTACCAGTATGCGACGTCGTGGGACTTCTTGCTTCGCTTTATTACCTTCACAACCCAAGTAATATTGCAATTTTTATCGAAGTTTCTAAGCAAGTCTAAATCATGGTCTTCAGAACCCTCATAAAAACAAAAATTTTTACTTGAGAATTGACTTCATCGATGAAGGTGACTTCTCGACTCTTGGTCATGTGCCCTTTGGTGTCCTCGTCAAAAACAGTCAGAATACGCTCGCGGGAGTTTGGATCCAACTTTTCCCTTTTCGGCTTCGGAATGAACACCATCGTTTTGGTTCCAAATACTCGAACGTGGGATAGGTTTAGCTTTTCCCCAGTCCAACCCTCTTTGGGAGTGACATCGTAGCCATGCGTTGGAGATCGATTCAACAGATATACGGTCGTAAGGAAAGCTTCCGCCAAGAAAGCTTTCAACAGTCCTGCTTCGAACAGCATGTTCCGAGCACGCTCCACAATCGAACCGGCTCGTTCTGCCATGCCGTCCTGTTCCGGAGTGTAGTCGTTCGTCTTCTGATGCCGTATGCCGTGCTACTTCAGATAGCCTTCGAAACCATGGTTCACATACTCCTTCCCGTTCATTCCAGACTGCCGCTCAGTCCTTACGTGGAATTCTTTGAATGCCTTCAAAACCGTCTTTTCGGACTTCGATTTGAAGAAGTACACCCACATGCGCCGGGATTTGTATCCAGAAGGTCCCGAATAAACGAGCTCAACTTTTTGGCTCAGCTCTGGTACTATCTTCGGTCCCAAGCTAATCGATTCACCCCTCGAAACATAGGAAAATCCACTAACCCCTCATTTTATCTGTCAAACTTTCATAGCGAATCAAAACAAACATAGTGTAGTACTGGATTTTATACTATAATGGGGTACGTTAGTCGATTTGCTTGGGACCAATAGGCTGGTCAAGTAGTGAGCCAATCTAAAATCGTTAGTTTCGTATTGATTGTTGGTATAAGTCTTTGATCACCTGAAGATCCTTTGAATAATTTCTTGTCTTCTTTCAAGAAGTTCATAGAACTTCCGAGAAGTTTACTTTTGAGCGAGGTCAGTCTGATTTAAAATAAAAGTATTGTGCGATGAATTACCGAATGGACTATTTTCCACTAGCCCAAATTTAACACGTCCGAATTCATGTAGCTCGAATACTACTGAATGAATAGTGCTTTTGGGTTGCACCAACAATCAATACGAAACTAACGATTTTAAATTGGCTCTTGACTAGCCTATTGGTCCCAAGCAAACGATTAACGTACCCCATTCTAGTCGAAATTCTAGTACTACACAATGTTTGTTTTGATTCGCTATGAAAGTTTGACAGATAAAATGAGGGGTTATTGGTTTTTCCTATGTTTCGAGGGGTGAATCGATTAGCTTGGGACCGAAGATAGTACCAGAGCTGAGCAAAAAAGTTGAGAATGTTTCTTTGGGACCCTCTGGTCTTAGAGTTACCTCTATGGTTGCACTGTGAAGTTTTAATTTGAGATTTTAAAATTGACCTTGAGACAATTTATGGGCTCTGGGATTTGAATGTTTGATAAGTTATCAGAATCTAATATTTTAGAGAAAATCCTTCCTTCTTTTAAACATGAGCATTTCTCTGGAGAATTTTGTTTGATGGAAAATCAGAATCTATTATCAGACATTTCAAAAAATTTACGAGTTTTCTACAAAGTTACAAATACTGGGCTCAAAATCAGACTATTTTCAAACGATTCAGGCTAATGGTACATTCGGGCTAGTGACATTCGGGTAAATGTTATAGAATCGATTTTGAGACTCGAAATGCCTTTAAATCCTCTGAGCGTTTGTATTTGGTTCTATTGATTAAAAGGCGAATTATGTTGACATTTATTCGACAAACTAGGATATTTACATTTTGCCATTGCATACAGAAAAAAACTTCAACTTTAGGTAGGTATAAGATTTTTGACTATTCTGAGTTATAACATTGCTATCCCCAGGAACGTATGTAATGGTCAATGTAATTTATTTATTTATTTATTTATTTATTTCAGGATTTACGTCATTATATAAAAACCCAATCGAACTGGCCATCAACTACCCATTTCTCTTTTGCATCTTGGATAAGGAGCTGGATCTGGCGCTCATTACCGGTCGAATACTGAACCCACTGAACTCGAGAATACATTAAGTTTAAAAAAAAATCAACCGACCATAATAAACAATGATTATGTTAAAAAAAAACCAGAAAAACAAAAATCACCTACCTTCTACTGTCGCTGCACCAGAATGCCCATTTCGTATACCCGTTTACGAATATCCGGGCAGCGACAGAACCCGGCGTTGGAACCTTCACAGTACTGAAAGAAAACCCAAAATTGTAGGCCAAGACAGGGACAGGGCTTTTTCGTCTGAAACCCACCTGAAATAGTTCCAGGATGGATCGCGCCTTCAGATTGAACAGCCTCAGCTGCATACGCAAAAACTCCGCCTCCATCATACTGAGCGACAGCGTGGTCTTCAGATAGGACAGTTCCATATTATCCTCGCTGATAACGCCGCACTGTGCCAGAAGAGCCAGCTCGACTTCGTTGAAATTAGCAGTCGGGCAACCGTGGTCGGCAAATTCCAACAAATCAGGAACTTGTTCGTGGGAAACGGAAATCGGCAGTGGGCTGGGTGCTGGTGGTGGTGGAGTGGCCATCGCCGGTAGCATTTCTCTATACGTTTCCTGTACAACGCGAATGGGATTGTTGTCCAGTGGAATCGAAACCATCGGAATCGGTGGGGGTATTTTGGCTGGGGTGAGCACTTTTGCTATTTTACGGCAGTCCGGTTCGTCGATCAAGATTCCGGAAGTGGTCAAAATTTCGCCTGAAATCAGTGAAGTTATAATACCTATGGCGTACATTTGAGGGGGATTGCGGATTCTGATCGTACTTAGGACCGTGTAGGCTACAGTAGGTGTGATTTCCAGGTATCCCGTTGGTTGCCACATTTTTTAGTTAGATTGCGGATCTCCACACAGTTTACACTATAACAGATAAACTCCGCCTCACAGAGGAATAATTACAATTACAATTACAATTCAAGACCAACAATTGAAATGGCCTTAACTCTATTTTGTAAGCAAACCTTGTAAGGCCATTTTCTCGCGAACCGAAGTCCACAAAGGCAAATCAACATAATGAACAGGTAGGGAAAATTCTGCTCGACCCGATTGTGGTTAAGGTTTGCGAATGAAGGTTTCGGTTCGCGAGAAAATGGCCTTACAAGGTTTGTTTACAAAATGGAGTTAAGGCCATTTCAATTGTTGGTCTTGAATTGCAGAGGAAGAACAAACTTGCTGCGCTTTTCCGTTTTGTTATTAGGTTCTGCAGCGTGACGTCACGAATGAACTCAGTTTTAATAGGCTGAACCTTTTTGACAGTTCAGTGGTACTGTTTACAAGCACTTAGTCGTTTTTTCGAAATTAAATGTTCTAAAATTACCGAACTTTAACTTGAAAATTGTCGAGGAACAGCGCGATGAAAGGATGTTGCTCGTGGACAATGCAGAAGTGTGGTTTACATCTCACTGCAGTTTGAAAAATTATCGAGAAAATCTACCCAAGAAAAAAACGACTAAGTCCATGTAAATAGTACCACTGAACTGTCATCAGATTGAGGTTAATCCCGACGGTGCAAAACCTAATTTTTGTTGCCTCACGGCAAATTAATCTAACTCATTTGAGTATCGTCCACACGGCGAATGAGAACGACCCAAATTTGAGTTTAGTTCACTCATAATCGCCAAAAGTGCAGGAACTCAGCGATGAGTAAAATTTGTCTCTGCCTATAGGAGGTATAAATTTTGCCGTACATATCGACAGTGAGCATGCATAAGGGCGCAAACGCGATGATCGAGTCTCTTCGTTGATTTTCTCTTTTGTTAATAACTCGCTAGATTTAACGTTTGTCTGTGCGTTTGCTGTTGCTTTTGATAACCAATACAACCTGTTACAACTCTGCATTGAACAAATTATAGAAAATTGTTTCGCTTAGCTGTAGCAATGCAAAGAGAAAATCTATGAAGAGAATCGATCATCGCGTATATGCCCTTATGCATGCTCACTGTCGATATGCTTCTTCTTTTCGTTCGAAACATCCTTCTTATTCTGCGAGGCACGTGACTCTCTGTCACCGGTGAGGAGCAAATCAAATGGAGAGTTACCTAATACGAGGTGACTATTGTCACCTCACCGGTGAGAGAGAGTTACGTGACTCGCAGAATAGGTGGTATGGCGGAATCACATTTAAGGGATGGCCGCACTGGCATCCGATATCGGACCGTCCGATATTTTTTGCGGCGGTATGAGAGAGACACTAGTAAATAGTAATTGTACCTTTAACTGCAGTTAAAATTCACCCATATTCTTATTTTCGTTCGATATTATTATAGACACCTCCATGTTAAAAAAAAGTGCTTTTCTGCACTGTTTTGGTTGTAACGTTACATAAAATCAAATTCAAAGGATAAATGGCAGCTAGATTTGCGAAATTATCGTCGTCTCCCGATGCCGACTCACTCCAAATGCTGCACCCGCTCTTCCAATACATTTAAGTACTGCTGCATGGTCCGTACACGCTTGAGGCACCCGGATATACGCTTCCGGTACTGCTTTTCCTGCTCAACATAGTCGGCTTTCATCTTCTGGTTAGCTTTTCTGGCAATCTGATAGCGCTCCCGATAGTACAAGGCATACTGATACCATTGATTCTGCTGAAACATATACAAATTCTGCGGAGGGACTACCGAATTCTGCGGGTAGGTAGCAGTTTGCTGATACTGGAAGAAAGTTAAATATACGATTGATCGATTTTTTGTTTTGCACACTGAATCTGAACCCAATCCATACTTCCGCTTTGATGGAGTTTACTGTAGGCTGATCCAGACTCTTTGGACTTCCGGGCTGAGGTTTATCGTCGTTTGCTTTAGCTTTGCAACGAGCGTGGGAATTTTTCAACAACTGCGCTATTTGAACTTCGAAACATTCCTGACTCTTGTCCGGAAACCAAGAGGCTGCAATTTCGGTGATTGGGGTGACGTATGAATTTTTCGAAAAAATATCAACCAAGTATTACCTTTGATGGCCATCATGATTCGCTGAAGGTCGGTTTTCATCGCACAGTTGTACGTTCCATTTTTCGTGCGGATGAAGCCAATCTGTCCCAGAACGGGATCGGTAATAAAGTTCCGGAGCATCTCACTCAAAGACCCTTGATAACGGATCGTAAGAACCTGAAGGTGCGCCAACTAAAATTTATAAGTAGTAAAAGGCGTAAAGGAGTGACATTGTGAAGAAAAAAATCCCGCTTTCACTTACCAAGCACTCATACTGTTGCACCGATACGATCCTGTTCTCCAGCTCGATCAAATGCTGAACGTCCCGGATCGGAAGCATACCGGCAATGATCGACGCGTCCGTAGCGATAAGTGGTCCATTGGACGAGTGTACATAATGTTCATCTGGAAAAGGACTTTGAGCTGTTTTCGAAGAAACTGTAGAGCAGAACCAATTTACCGGAGGGCCACCGTTCGGTACTGGCAGATGAAAGCGTCTTCACGGCCGCCACTGAATCTCCCCCGTAGTTGGCCATTCCGTACTGGAGAGGTTCATGTAAAGTTTGCTTGAAAAACTGCAGATTCGATTCGCCGGAAGGGCCAGCTGAATAGCTTGCAGTTGGATACTGCTGCGCAGCAAAAGTACCGGCGAAATACGTCGAATATGGATACATTTTTTTAATAATCTTCCGGGAGTGAGCAGACACTAGATGCACGAACTACTCCGCACTTGAAGAGTCGCATTTATTCGATTTATTCACGCAGCGTACTGCGCGTCGTGCGTGTTGCGTTTTGTCGTTGGGTGTTATCGTCGTTATCACATTCAAATTAAAATCGCGTACGCACGTGCGACAAACATGACACATAATAGTATTGGGCGATTACCATCATCCCACAGCAAAAAATATATTCAATAGACCTGTGCTCGGGTGAACTTTTATTCATCTACAAGTCCCACCGGCTAGTTCACTTTTACCTACTTTTGACTATTGACGAGTGCACGGATGGATTTGAGTTCACTCACTCGACAAAAAGTGACACAACAGCGGGGCCCTGTTTACTAAAAATGAACACATATGTGTTCATTTTTAGTAAACAGGGCCCCGCTGTTGTGTCACTTTTTGTCGAGTGAGTGAACTCAAATCCATCCGTGCACTCGTCAATTAGGTTCTGCAGCGTGACGTCACAAATGAACTCAGTATTAATCGACTGAACCTTTTTGACAGTTCAGTGGTACTGTTTACAAGCACTTAGTCGTTTTTTCGAAAAAAATAATTCTAAAATTTCCGAATTTTAACTTGAAAATTGTCGAGGAACAGCGCATTGCAAGGATGTTGCTCGTGAACATTGCAGAAATGTGGTTTACATCTCACTGCAGTCTGAAAAATTATCGAGAAAATCCACCCAAGAAAAAATCGGCTAAGTCCACGTAAACAGTACCACTAAACTGTCATCAGATTGAGGTTAACCCCGACGGTGCAAAACCTAATAGTGGCTAGTCAAGTAGTGAACCAATTTAAAATCATTAGTTGCCACCGGTTGGTAATACCAACAAATCAAGTTCTTTGCGTATTAGAGCATCTCCACCGCTGTTTCTAAATCACTTTTGGAAACTGAGTCAGCATGACTTCCGCCTGTGACCAATGCGCTAAACCAGTTAAAGGCGATGAAGAATCCATCTCCTGCATGGCTTTTTGCGACAGGATGATTCACCTAAAGTGCGGCGGCACAAAGCTGAATAAGGCTTTTTTGAATATTGTCCACACTAGCCCGAACCTGTTTTGGATGTGTAACGAGTGCGCCAAGCTGATGAAATGTGCTCGGTTCAAAACTGCCGTCTCGTCGTTTGGCAGTGTGATTAATTCTATCACCGAGAGACAGGAAATCGCACACGCTGAGCTTAGGAAGGAAATGGCTAAGCAAGAACAGCAGATCGCTCAGCTATCGAAACGAATCGCATTGACAACTCCGACAAACTCCGATTTCATGCGTCAACCGCCATTAAAACGGCGCCGCGATGAAGGCTCGCTCACTAGCAAACCACTTGTTGGTGGTTCTAAAGCAGTAACAGGCGACAATGCCTTTACCGAGGTCCTTACTGTCCCTGAACCCAGCGAGCTGTTTTGGCTGTACCTTTCTCGTATTCATCCTAGCGTGAAATCTGAATCAATCGAGAAGCTGGTCAAAGGTTGTGTACAGTGTGAAGATCCGATTAAGGTTGTGCCACTAGTCAAAAAAGGATCCGACATCAGCCGTATGAGCTTCATCTCGTACAAAGTCGGAATGGATCCCAAACTACGCGAAGCTGCTCTTAGATCGGATACATGGCCGAAAGGAATTTTGTTCCGTGAATTTGAAGACGGTTCAAAAAACATGTGGTTGCCTCGTTTGAACACGCCTGCCATCACGATCTCTCCTATTCCGGGACCTTCCGAGTTCTCAACTCCCATTTCCGGACTAGACCCAGTCTGCTGATTCAGAATTGGATTTTGCGCTGTGAATTGGAGCGCTGTAGACCAGAACGCGCTGCCTGTCGCATTATGGGAGACCTCGAACCACTCGATCCAGTCGCGCTAGCTGTTTCCCGCCATCAAAGCCGTACTATTTCCTGCCATCAGAGTCGTTCTGGCCCTGCGGTCGAGTTCGGTGGTGAGGTCTCCCGAGCATCGTCGTCAGGCAAGTATGCATACATTAGTTACAGTCATTTGCCTGATCAGTTTCCGTGTTCCAGTGCAACGCATCATGATGTTTACACGATTTCCAAGAATAATGCTGCTACCTTTATTGCTTCTGGACCACCACCATCACCACCGAGACGCATCGTGGATAGTACTGTGGAAGCCCCTGATTTCTCTGCCTCAGTCGCGCTTATTCCAGCCAGCGCTCTGCATAGTCGTCTTGGCCCTGAGTGTAGATGTAGGTCGGGGGTCTTCCAACCAGCTATTACTGGCAAGTATATTGACGATTCAGCTTCTCCTTTGCCTGATACCGCTTCAACTTCTAGCTGTGTTTCCGGTTCTGCGATCTCCACACTAGCCACATCATGTCCATGCATCCGTCCTGCCAACTACCAGCAGGTTTATGCCGCCACCTGCTCTTCCTCGGATCCGGGACACCCTAAAACAGGCACTGAGGAAGCTTCCGAACCTCCCGACCCAGTCGCGCTTGCTGCAGACATCCGCCATCGTCATCGTCCTGGTCCTGTGGTCGGTGATGGTATCGGGGGCTTCCGGCCTGCAACCTCAGGCGAGTATGTTAGTGATTCCGAACTTTCGATACCTGATGTCCTTTCGATTTCTAGTGCCCGTGATTGCTCCTCGAATGGTCTCCGGATTTACTACCAAAACGTGCGTGGGCTGAGGACTAAAATCGACTCGTTTTTCCTGGCTGTTGCGGAGGCCGAATATGATTTGATTGTGCTGACGGAAACGTGGCTGGACGACCGAATTTACTCATCGCAACTTTTCGGGTCACTCTATTCCGTCTTTAGAACTGACCGGTCTGCCCTAAACAGTCAAAAATCGCGCGGTGGCGGAGTCCTGATTGCAGTATCTACTAGACTAGCCAGCTACGTAAGTACGTCACCCATTTCCAGTCAACTGGAACAGCTGTGGATTGTCGTAGAACTTCCACAAAGCAAGCTTAGTGTAGGCGCAATCTACCTGCCTCCCGACCGCAAAAACGACTGCACGATCATCCGTGAGCATGTGGAATCGTTAGGGTCAATTTCGTCACAATTAAGTCCCTGCTCTCCCGCTTTCGTATTTGGTGACTACAATCAAGCTGGTCTACAGTGGCGCTTTACAGACAGTGGCACACCATTAATTGATCCACTGCTTTCGCATATGCCGGTTGCTTGCTGTGCTCTTTTGGACGGTTTTAACTTTTACGGGTTCACACAAGTGAATACTTTTCCAAACCGAAATGGACGTTTGCTAGATCTTGTCCTGGCTAATGATTCCGCACTACCGGGCACTTCTGTTTCCTTGCCCGTCGAGCCACTGATTGATCTAGATGCCGATCATCCCGCTCTCGTCGCGTCATTTAGTTTACCTGCGCCGATTCTTTTTACGCCGTCATCTGAGTGCTACTCTTTGGACTTTCGCCGGGCCGATTATGTTGCATTGAACAATGCGCTTGCGGAAATTGATTGGCAATTTATCGAAACTGCCGCTAGCGTGAATGATGCAGTGGATTTTTTCAGTGCTGCACTGGAAGATGCTATTTTCCGCATTGTCCCAGCTCGACGACCTCCGCTAAAGCCTGCATGGTCTAACCCACGCCTACGCGTGCTAAAACGTCAACGCTCTGCCGCCCTCCGAAAGTATTGTAACTCTCGCTCGCCGTACTACAAACGACTGTTCAATTTTGCGAGTCGTAGTTATCGAAATTACAATCGTTTTCTCTACAATCGACACGTGAGACGCACGGAAGCGAACCTTCGCACGAATCCGAAAAGTTTTTGGTCGTTTGTCAACTCAAAACGGAAGGAATCCGGATTGCCTTGTTCCATGTTTCTCGGGAATGACTCGGCTAATAGTGAAAGAGAAAAATGCGACTTGTTTGCTCGTCATTTCAAGCAAGTGTTCAACGATTTCTCCGCTTCGCCAACACAAGTGCTGGATGCTGCTGTTGGGATGCCACGTGATGTGTTTAGTTTCGTTATTCCGCGCATTTCAGAAGACATGGTGATAGCCGCAACACGCAGACTGAAGCTATCGTTCGCCTCCGGACCTGACGGCATTCCGTCATCAGTTCTAAAACGTTGTGTAGCCAATCTCTGCCTTCCACTTGCGAGGCTATTCAATCTCTCGGCACAGCAATGTGAGTTCCCCTGCCGCTGGAAACTTTCTTATCTGTTCCCAGTGCACAAAAAAGGAGATAAACGGAATGTCATAAATTATCGTGGAATCACCTCCCTGTGTGCCTGCTCAAAACTGTTCGAGATTATCATAAATGGTGCTCTGTTCGCACGCTGCAAAAATTATATCGATACAGAACAACACGGTTTCTACCCGAAGCGCTCCGTGTCCACGAACCTGGTGCAGTTCACTTCTAACTGTCTGCGATGCATGGATTCAGGATGGCAAGTCGATACTGCGTATATGGATCTAAAAGCTGCATTTGACACGGTGGACCATAATATCCTGCTGGCCAAGCTGGAGATACTTGGCATCTCGTCAACTGCTGTGGATTGGTTCAGATCTTACTTGGTGAATCGCTATGTACATGTCAAGATTGGCGCGTCGGAATCGGATGTTTTCTCAAACAACTCGGGAGTCCCGCAAGGCAGTAACCTAGGACCGCTACTATTTTCGATCTTTTTAAACGATGTCGCCTTGCTGATACCATTTGGATGCCGCGTTTTCTATGCAGACGATACGAAAATCTACAAAATTATTAAAAGCCTCTCGGACTGCTGGGATCTCCAGAATATGTTAGGTATTTTTGCTGACTGGTGCTCAAGAAATTTGATGAGTCTAAGCATAGAAAAATGTAACATTATTTCATATCACCGAAAAATTGAACCAATCTTGTTTGACTATGTTCTCTACGGACGCTGTCTTGCTCGTGTAGAGCACATAAAGGATCTCGGCGTTACCTTGGACTGCAAACTCACTTTCAGAATCCACTACAATGACATCATCTCCAGAGCTAATCGACAATTGGGCTTTATTTTCAAAATTGCCGACGAGTTTCGTGACCCGCTATGTCTCAGGTCACTTTACTGCTCGCTTGTGCGATCCTTATTGGAGTCAAGTTCAGTTGTTTGGTGCCCTTTCCATGCTAGCTGGATCACTAGAATTGAATCCGTTCAACGCAAGTTTGTGAGATATGCTCTTCGTTTCCTCAACTGGCGTGACCCAACGAACTTGCCACCGTACGAGGAGCGTTGCCGTCTCCTGGGAATCGAGCCATTAGAGGTGAGACGGACGGTCGCTCAAGCTATGTTCGCCGGAAAGCTGCTTACAGGTGACATTGACTGCCCAACACTGCTGTCACAACTAAATATGTATGCCCCTGAGAGGTCTCTTCGTCAACGCGACTTTCTGTTTTTGGAACCACGGAGCCGGAATTATACACAACACGAGCCAATTCGAGCAATCAGCCGGCAATTCAACAACTTTTTTTATATGTTCGACTTCAATGTATCAGCTGACGTGTTTCGTCATCGGCTACTTGGCCTTTTCCGTACCGTTGACCGTAACTATTTAGTTTAAGTTTTATTCATTTAGACAGTATTTGTCAGTTGAATTTTTCAATAAACAATAATAAACAACAATAATAACATCTCTGATCACGCCTTCCTTCGGAAGGGAAGTAAAGCCGTTGGTCCCCGGTTCATGAGTTGATGGGTCGATAGGAAGGGTCCAGGTGTGGGAGCTGCCTCTCTGGCGTCGGTAGCATTGGTGCTCAGCACGGAAAACAAGATCGACGGAAAACAAATCAAGGAATTTCACCCCTGCTAGTTTTTGACATTGTATGTTTCGCCTCAATGTTTACGTTCTTTTTCCTGATGGTTTGTTACTTTCGACCTATTGCAGTTTGTTGGATTCTAGATAAATTCATGTGTTGGGGTGTTTTCGCTTATTTCGATCAGATTAACAATGTTTTCTTTTGATTACCAACCGGTAATTGCAAGGGGTAGTGAAAAGATTCAAATTATATCTTTCGCCTTGTATGGGAAAAATGTCTGTTTCGCCCCATCTATGTATATGGAAGGAAGCGGCCGTAAGAGCCAACTCAATTTGTAATAAAAAAAAGTTGGTTTCGCCCTTATGTTTTTTGCGTTTTTTTAAGAACGTACATTATTTGTCCAAACATTTTTAGTATCGTTTTGTAGCATTTGATTAGTAGTACAACGTGATGTATCAACCTCAGTTTGTTTACACTTGCGACATTCGCCCTTATTCCAGCTCTATCTAGAATTGTTGTATAAGGACCCGTTTAAATATTACACAAATCAAAAAATGTGATTATACCAGGGGGGAAGACACTTCAGGATTATCCCATTTTTACCCAAATCACTCCTAAAATGTTCAACGTGCACAAAATTTCAATCCATCCTATCTATTCTTTCTATTCCCAACTTATCCCTTCTGCATGCACACAAATCATCAAGCAAGCCGTGCAGTTTTCAGGTCGATCGCGAAGCACTGTCAGTTTTCAACGATCTTCATAATAAACATGGTGTTAAAACAATTTGATATGTGTTGAGTCGTTCAAGGTGGCGATTGTCCTGGCCAAGGATGAAGTGATTTCTCGATTGGATTCCCGAGGGAGCTTAAATTAAAATAGATGACGGACCACTCGTCTATAATTGGTCGCGGGGCAAATACATCAAGAACGTCATAGAGGAGACAAATGACAAATGAGAACATCTGAAATAAGAAACAGTAAAAATCGTTAAACTGTTTATTTTTTAATCTGAATTTGAAATAATTAATGAAACACACTCGATTCAGTTTTTCTGAGATTCAGTCCAATGGAAATGAAAAGAATCATAAAATTGAAACTGAACCCCAAATTTTCAAACGTTGAATGTGAAAATTCACAGATTTTGAGTGGTGCCAGTATTGCACGAATCCGACGATATATCTCGCTCTCTCATTGTGGAGAGTCGATCGAATATTATAGGGCAGGTGTGGGATGAGCAGGATGACCAGTGAACCAAGAAATCGAAAAAAAAAACCGGGAATGACAAATCGGGGAAAAAATTTCTTCATCTATTTTTTAGAAAAAAAAGATTTTAGGACTTTGTAAAGTTTTAAGATTCTTGGACCAGACTAAACTTTTTTGGAATTTTGAGTAGATTTTAGGGATAACAAGTCATTTCAGATGGTATTAAAGGTAGTTTTAGAAACCGCTCTAAGAGATTTTAGACTTTCACTCCAAGTCACTTTTGTGAGTTCAAATTCAGGGTAGAATTTTTAAGTTAATCTGTGGAGAATTGCAAATCGGTTGCGAAGATCACAGTATCGTGACCGTACCAAGGTTTCCAGCCTCGGTAACGGCTACATGAATCCGCGATGCTGCTATTCCTGCAAATGCTGCCACTTCTACTGGCTTTCACAAATTTCGTTTGCGTGTTTAGAATTAAGTGTTTTTTTCGTCGTGGAATCGATGCATTCTATAAGTAGAGGGCTTTTGTAGTCCAGCTGTCACCATCCAAACATTATTTTTCACTGAGCATTGACTAAAATGGCTACTTCGATGTTTTTCTTTCGTACTGTTTCATTTCAGTTGCACGCATCCCCATGACAATTTAAAGCACCCTCGCATCCAATGCAATCCCACTAGGAATCCTATATTTTTTTTTCTATCCTTACTCAATTTTCGTCAAGACGACAAACTCAAAAAATCTCTTCAATTACATTATTTTTAAGGCAAGCATGGTAAAAAAGAATTCATCTGAATGAGTGTCGTTCCCCCTGGATTATACACAGGCCCGTTCAAATATTAAGTAACGCGAAATTTGCGTTTTTACATACGGGGGTATGTAACACTACACTGATAAAATTTCAATGATTGTTTTTATGTGTCCCACATATGATTTTTTGCAATGTGATCAACAAATGATATCTATGTGTCGGACACATACTTAATATGTGTACACATAAAAGCCATGTGTAACCACACATAGGGGGAACAGCCCTATTGTTGCGGTACGTTAGCAGCACAAACGAAGTGACAGACGGAGCGGCTCGAAAACTTTGGTGACTAACCTGCTATTTCAATTTTTCAGTGTACCACATGGCAACACCACTACTATTAGATTGTACCACATGGCAACACTACTACTGGATTGTACTAGCATTTTCACCAAATGTATTATGGTTCTATCTCTTTCACTCTACTCAAAACTGAAATGCATAAAAAAATGACAAAATGATACGCACTCTTTGCACCACAAACGAAGTGACAGACGACTAACTGGGGAAGAAATCCATTAAAATAATGTGGTTCACTGTAATAGAATTTTCTTGGAAGCTTGTGCCATCATCCACCAGATGGGTTAGTTTTTTTGTTTTGATTTGAACAAAGTTGATTTTGTGTACAATGATGCTTTGACAGTGTGCAAAGAGTGCGTATCATTTTGTCATTTTTTTATGCATTTCAGTTTTGAGTAGAGTGAAAGAGATAGAACCAAAAAATTCTAGTACATTTGGTGAAAATGCTAGTTCAATCTAGTAGTAGTGTTGCCATGTAGTACAATCCAGTAGTAGTGGTGTTGCCATGTGGTACACTGAAAAATTGCAATAGCAGGTTAGTCACCAAAATTTTCGAGCCGCTCCGTCTGTCACTTCGTTTGTGCTTTGCACACTGTCAAAGAATCATTGTACACAAAATCAACTGTGTTCAAATCAAAACAAAAAAACACACCCATCTGGTGGATGATGGCACAAGCTTCCAAGAAAATTCTATTACAGTGAACCACATTATTTTAATGGATTTCTTCGCCAGTTAGTCGTCTGTAACTTCGTTTGTGGTTAGCAGCGTTTGAAGTCTATTGTTGTGTATGGAGGTCTCCATACCCAACAATAGGCTTCTAACGCTGCTAACGTACCGCAACAATAGGGCTGTTTCCCCTACTATTCATTTGATTCATAAATTTCATGTGTGCTTCTGGGTGGATTATGTTTATATGTGGTCACATGAAATTTATGTGGAGTTTCGCATGGAAATTCGTCAATAAAAATGTGTGGAATTTTATTAGTGTATTAGGTCATGCGGTACATAATACTTGAACTGACCATAAATACCAGCTGGGTGGCATGCCGCCATGTTATTGAAACCAACATCTGAAACGTCACAATTCCAGTGTGAACTGCAAAAATGGCGTGACTGAATTGTCTTATTTTTATCAAATGAAATTATTTTCCCTTTTATGCCATATAAATGGTTGACTTCGTGGTAGAAAATCAGAAAATAATATTTTATGAGTCCTAAGTTTATTTTTCACAAAATGTAAGCAAAAATATTAAGAATATCCATAATATCAGCCACGCCTTTTTTGAAATTCTGGATTGAATCTTCTATTTGTTTACAAATTATGAGCTGTCAGTGGGGCCCACGATTCGCGGGCCCGCAGCGATGTTAGCTCTTTTCAAGGCAAGGCAAACAAGATAGGGATCCCTAATAAATAAATACCATAAACGAACGATAACCCAAATTGTTGAACTTTTCCACAAATGGTTTGGATGATACCCCAAACACGTCGTTAAGCAAAATAACCATACAAATTTTATTAGGGATGCCATCCAGCTGATAAATACCTATTTTTACGAGATCGCCCAATACAAAACATTGGAACGATTTGTAACCTTTTGTAACGTCTCAAAAATTTCCCAAAACAATGCGCAACAGGTGGGTTCGAAAACGGGATCTTTCCGCAATAAAAAATCTCTTTTGTTCACTTTGACAGCTCGCTGTTGATGTGCTGTCAAAGTTTGACACCAAAGCGAAAATTTTCACCTGGAGAAAAAAAAAATTGTTTTCGTCGGGAAATGTTCAAAAATTGTTGAAAAATATTGCTGTTTTCTCGGCTCAAAGTAATTATTCTTAGTAGGAAAGCGTATCTGCACTGTTGTTCGTAATTAAAAGGTAATTTGTATGCGGAAAATCGAATCCGCACGGATACACTGATGACATCTTTCTTCACCGTTTGTTGTTGGTTGTTGGAAAAGATTCATTAGAAAGCCTTTCTTATAGGCAACACCCCGGAATAAGTAGGAATCGACGTATTTTGACGGCGAAAAAAGTACGATGAACGATAGGTTGCTGAGAATTGGACAACGGATCGAGGTTTCCGGCAAAGATGTCCGTGGCTCGATTGCGTACATCGGGATGACCTCGTTTGCGGTCGGCAAATGGGTTGGTGTCATCCTAAATGAGCCGAAGGGTAAGAACAACGGGTCGATCAAAGGACAGACGTACTTTTCGGTGAGTCGGAAACGGCAAATGTAAATTCTTATTGAGGAAAATTTAATCGTCGTTTCAGTGCGAAGAAAACTATGGAATGTTCGTTCGTCCCACTCAGTTGGTATTCCTGGATGATGCGGGAAACCCAATTGAGGGCGCGGATCTCCAAATCCCTGAAGAGAAACCACGGTCTCGGTTGAGCAGGTGAGTCATTTTTTTACGGGTTTTTCTAATTTTACAACATCAGATGACTCTAACCCTAATCTATCTAGACAACTTTTCAAACTGTCATTCATTTCGCATTCACTCCGTCATTCTACTATCGAGTCTACAATGTACCACTATTACTGCTAAGCATCTCGTTGATTTATTTCTGTATTTCGTTTCTCTTTGCAACTCTAACTCAATACAAAAAAAATCTAAAATCAAAAACCACAAATAAATTCCATTGTTGCTAAAAACGCGAGCTAGTTCCAAGCGTGCTCCTTCCAAATCAAAGTAAGTGTTAACCGTTCCGCTCCGTTTGTAGTGCTCAGCAATCACACGAACCTCAATCAAGCTTTGAAGCAACGAAAGCAAACACAAATTTAAAATCGATACATGTTCAATCATATTATGCTCATCCTTTGTCAATCATCCAGCAGCAGTAGCAGCGCGCAATCTTTTTTCGAGCGCCTAAAAAGTAGCGCAAGCAACCTCCATTCTAATGTCAATGCTGATTGTACCTAATAGATAGAACTTTAATCTCATCGCCCATAGTAAACCACCACCGATTGGCAGAAATATTGCACTGCAAAAAAAAGGGTGTCTTCCCACCCACCCACACATAATTCTATGTTGTTGTACCGTCTAACGTTTCATCATTCGAATTGGATAAATAGCTTCTTAGTTTTGCTTTGGTTTTCTCCGTCTTAATTTGGGCCGATTTTTCTTCGTATCTAGAAACCGTTTCTACCTACTTCTTTCAATTAGAAATCTTTCCTATTTATCATTGTCTTTAACACTATCGTCGTTCTGAATGCATGCTTACAAACGCACCTACATATTGTAGTGCTGGATCGGTTCGCTCGCTGACTTCGATGCCGGGTTCAACGCCCACCTTCCAAGCGAAACCAACGGCGTAAGTTGATAGTTGTTTTATAGGAAAGAGCATTTCCTATTAGTAGGTAGATTTTGTTTGTTTGTTTTTTTTTTTTTTTTTCGTTTGGTAGCTGCTAGTTTTGGTTCTGCGGTTTCGTTAGATCTTCGTGTGAAAATTCTAAAATCATAATACCAAAATTCAGGTCATGTATCATACGTTGTACGGTGCTGAGCATGTTTGTGAAAGACATATTTTACATTTTCCATTAAACATTGATTGAAATTCCAGGAACGTAGGATAGTCGAAAGCGAAAGACTTACCCAGTATCACATAAAAATGCTGTGATTACTAATCTGAAAGATTGATAGACTTAAAATGTTGTACATCAAAAACTTAACGTTCTTTTTGATCACAAATCAACAGTTATTAGGTGTGTTCAATCATCCAACTCGAACCTAACAAATAGTTGCCTATACTTTCCTTCGGGTTCGGGGAGTGGGGGAATGCCCAAACTCCATCTATATTTTCTTAGTCACTGTAAAAACAATTTGTCAGTAAAATCTTGATTTTTTTTTTTAGTTCCAAGACTCCACTCTACTCGATCCATGACCATACGTCACCAATTTTTGCAATGTGAGCGATGGATGGTTCTCCCAGCAGCTGGTGTAATTCGTGGTTCATTCCTCATCGTCTCACGTTCAGTCATCCATCTGTACTCCACCGTAGATGGTACGCAACACCTTTCATTCGAAAACACCAAGAGCGAGCATAGTCTAGGTCTCGTGGCCGTAGAGAACCGCCGGTCTAATCAGCGTCTTGTATATAGTCAACTTCGTGCGGCGGCGAACTTTATTCGACCGGAGCGTCCTCCGGAGTTCAAAGTAGGTACGATTCCTTGCCATAATGCGTCTTTGGATATTTCTGCTGGTATCATTTTCGGTCACCAATGAGCCCAAATACACGAACTTGTCGACCACCTCGATCCGTCTAGCTTCAGCCTTCAGTCTGATTTCCACCATCGTCCCAAAGTTTCATGACATGATGTCGATGTAATCGGCGAAGAAAAGAAGCTGGATGGACATCCTGAGGATCGTGCCAGCTCTTCTTATTACACCTTCTAACGCGATGTTGAATAGCAGACACGAAAGTCCATAACCTTGCCGTAACCGCCTTCGAGATTCAAAGGGACTCGAGAGTGTCCCCGATACTCGAGAGTGTCCCCGATACTCGAACAACGCACATCACTCGATCCACCGTCGCCTTGATCAATCGCGTCAGTTTATCCGGAAATTCATACTCGTGCATAATCTGCCATAGCTGATCTAGATCGATTGTGTCGTATGCAGATTAGAAATCGATGAACACGTGGCCACGTTGTATTCGCGGCATTTCTGCAGAACCTGCCGAATCGCGAAAATTTGGTCCGTGGTAGCGCGGAACCCATGTATTGCCCCACGAACTCTCTTGCAAATGGTGACAGGCGGCGGCATAAAATTTGGCAGAGTACCTTGTAGGCGGCGCTCAGTAGTGTGATCGCGCGGTAGTTGCAGCAATCCAACTTGTCACCCTTTTTGTAGATTGGGCATACGACACCTTCCATCCACTCCTCCGGTAATATATCCTCCTCCCAAATCTTTGCAATTACCCAGCGCAGCGCTCTAGCCAGTGCTTCACCACCGTATTTTAATAGCTCACTTGGTAGTTGATCTGGACCAGTTGCTTTGTTGTTCTTCAGCCGACCGATCTCCTCCTCAACTTCTTGAAGAACAGGGGCCGGTAGCCTGTCGTCTTCTGCGCGTGCTCCAAGGTCTGTTGCCGTACCACCTTCGTTTTCTGCTGCACAACCATTGAGGTGCTCGTCATAGTACTGCCATAGAGACCTCTCAATCACCTCACACTCGTTCGTGAGAAGGTTACCGTCCAAGTGCTTGCACATATCGGCTTGCGGCACGTAGCCTTTGCGCGAACTATTTAACTTCTCATAGAACTTCCGTGTGTCGTTTACGCGATACAGATTTTCCATCGCCTCGCGATCTCGATCTTCCTGCTGACGCTTCTTCCTTCGAAAAACCGAGTTTTGTCTATTCCGCGCTTGTCTGTATCGCTCCACATTCAATATTTTGCGGTGCTGCAGCATTCTCGTCAGTGCTGCATTTCTTGTCCTCTACTAACAGTTTGCATTCGCCGTCAAACCAGTCATTTCTAAATAGTGCCTATGCAGCAGTACTACATATGACGGAACGGATGTCCCTCCAGCCATCTTCAAGAGTAGCTACGCCAAGCTGGTCTTCAGTGGGTAGTGCAGTTTCCAGCTGCTGCGCGTAATCCTGGGCAACTCCGGCGTCCCGTAAATGCTCAATTTTGGGTCGCGGCGTTCGACTTCGACGGGTGTTATGCACCGTCGAGAGTTTTGAGCGCATGCATAATGCAACTATAGTAGTGGTTCGAATCTATGTTCGCACTGCGGTACGTCTGGACGTTGATGATGTCGGAGAAGAATTTCCCGTCGATTAGAATGTGATCGATTTGGTTTTCTGTGTGTTGGTCAGGGGATCTCCAGGTGTGAATATCCTTGCGAGGGGAAAAGGTACTTCGGACTACCATACCACAGAAGGCTGCAAAAAGGCCGTTGTCGTTCGATACGGAATGCAGGCTGTTTGGCCCGATTGCTGGTAAAGGGTGTCCACGATGAAATTGCCACACACAAAATTGATTCGCAAAATTCGAGTTTTCATCCGATTGCCATCAAATTTTCAGGGATTGAGAAATAACTATTAAACTTCATTTTACCATTTTACTCGTATTTTATTTACAGTCCATACGCAAATGCCCGCACCTTGGCCTTAACCCCGGCCATAAGATTCTGCACAACCTGTGAATCAACCGTTTTTTTTGCATGTAAACCCATACTTTCTTCAGTTCCTCGACTGTCTTCACTACCTTAGGTCGTTTAAGAAGGTGCTGCTTCATAATCGCCCAGTACTTCTCGATGGGGCGGAGCTCCGGAGTGTTGGGAGGGTTGAACATTTTCGGCACGAAATTGACCTTATTGTCCGCATACCACTTCAGCACGTCCTTGGAGTAGTGGCATGAGGCCAAATCCGGCCAGATGATTGTTGGGACGTTGTGGGCCTTCAGGAGAGGAAGCAGCCGCTTCTGGAGGCACTCTTTTATGTACACCTGTCCGTTCATCGTGTCCTGGGTCACGAAAGGTGCACTCCGCTTCCCGCACGTGCAGATGGCTTGCCAAACCAGGAGTTTCTTCGCAAATTTGGACATCTTCTGAGTGCGGACATGCTCCGGAACGCTGAACTTATCCTTGGCCGTTAAAAACAGGTTGCCGGGGATCTGTTTGAAGTCGGCCTTCACATATGTTTCGTCGTCCATGATGCAGCATTCAACTTTCGTCAGCATGTTGAGGTACAACTTCCTGGCACGGGTTTTGGCAGACTTGTTCTGCTTCTCGTCGCGATTAGGGGCCTTTTGTACCTTGAACGTTCGAAGCCCAGCCTTAGTTTTGGCCTTCTGGACAAAACTTCGGCTTAGGTGCAGCTTCTTAGCCACATCCCTAACGGAGGCGTTCGGATTTCGGTTGAAGGCCCCAACTACGCGGTTGTGATTTTTGGTGTTGTACGGAATACTTTTTCCTTCATTTCTGGGCTTCCACTCGGTGGTCAACCGTTCCTCGAACCGCTTAATCACTCGCGACACCGTGGAATTCGCGATTCCCAACGTTTTAGCGATGGAACGATGCGAAAGATCCTTGTTCTCGTGATGAATGCGCAAGATTTTATCACGCACGAGCTGTTCTTTCGACTCCATTTCCGCGAGTTTTGATCACAGGACTTTAAAACTTGCAGGATGTAAATAATGCACTATGAACTAAATCCACCCAAATTTTCATTAAATTCTACCCAACGGTTAAAAAGTTAGAGCAATTTCATAGTGTGGCAATTTCATCGTGGACACCCTTTATCTACATTGCCTCCCGTGTCCTCCTACCTGAGCGTTCATGTCGACGATGACGATTTTGACGTCCCGTCGTACACCTGCTCCAACTGCGTAAAAATGCTTCTTTCTCGTCGTCGGGTCTCCCTTCGTGTGGGCAATGCACGTTGATGATGCTGTAGTTGAAGAAACGGCCCTTAATCCTCAACTTACACATCCCCGCGTTGATGCGCTGCCCAACAATCACGCTTTGGCGCATCTTACCCAGCACTACAAAGCCAATTCTAAGCTCGTTAGTGGTGCCACAGCTCTGGTAGAAAGTAGCCGCTCGATGTTCACTTTTCCATACCTGCAGTGCTACGACTTCGAAGTTGCGTGGTTGAAGTTCGTCATTGATTAACCTATCGCAACCCGGGAAGCCGAGCGATTTGCAGTTCCATGTTCCGAGTTTCAAATTGTAGACCTTATTGCGTCTTGTATGTCTATGCCGATTGTTCCGATCCGTTATTCTTTCCAGGGAGGCTTGTTGGCTCCCACAGGTTGGTGCCAGCTCTGTTTAGAGTCCCACGCTGGCACTAGGACGGTCATCAGCCGCTCCTAACATGGAGAACAGACGCCGTTTTGACATAGAGATAACTCTAAGACCACAAGGTCCTGAAGAAACGTGCAAAACGTTTTGGTTCAGCTCTGGTACTCTCTTCGGTCCCAAGCTAATCGATGCACCCCTCGAAACATAGGAAAATCTACGAACCCCTCAATTTATCTGTCAAATTTTTATATCGAATCAAAACAAACATAGTGTAGTACTAGAATTTCGACTAGAATGGGGTTCGTTAATCGATTTACTTGGGACCAATAGGCTAGTGAGCCAATTTAAAATCCACCTCCATGGTGAACAGACGCTCGGGTTTGGTGAAGCATTTCCTCTATCACCGTACATCAACCAGAGGAAACTAACGATTTTAAATTGGCTCACTGCTTGACAAGGCTATTGGTCCCAAGCAAATCGATTAACGTAACTTATCCCATTCTAGTCAAAATTCTAATGTTTGTTTTGATTCGCTGTGAAAGTTTGACAGATAAAATGAGGG